TTAGACTATGGCTCATATGGTGTAAATATGCAGGCCCAGTGCTGGGGCTTTTCTTCTTTCATCAGCTTCATTCATGGGTTCTCTTCTGCAAGGGTCCGTGGCAAGAGCACGGGTGCAAGATTAAGTTTGTGGTACCAGCATGCATGAGTGGTAATTACTCATGCTCATGCAAACCTGTGAAAAGGACAATCAGAAATTGTCCGTCTGCCGTAATGATGATGCCCACCCGCCACAACCTCGAGGCCTGCTCCGTCAAGTAGCTGTGCGAACGAAAATATCACGATTCAGGATAAGCGCGGTGTTTGGTTTTAGCAGAGATTTCCAACGCTGAAGGTGAGGGTGCTGTAGGTCCACAGCTAGCTGGCTCTTGAATGGTCCTGGAGCTGGTCGATGCCTGAGCTTCAGGCCTCGAGCATGAGGTGCCGTGAACAACAATGCCATCCCAAAGCTAATTGCAAGCCACAGTACGCAGCTGCCCTCAGCTGCCCCTGACAACTCCAAAAGTCTGTGGTGCCAGCATTCGTCCAGTCGTGCCGCCACTGTCCCTCGGGGGCCTGAGTCGTGCTCACAATGTTCAGCAACGCTAGAAGCAACAAGAGTCACGAGAGGCGACTGTTCCCACTGTGTTTTCAGGATATCTACCCTCATGTCAGACGCTGGGCTAGGCCGTGCGTTGATGTCCCGAAAGTCGATACCAAACACCCTTCTGCATCATTGAGGTCCGCACTTGGCATAGCACTCGAGGATCCATTCCTGCTGTGAAGTGTCATTCCATGCAGGAAAGCAGTGCGTGTACCATAACGAAGGCTGGCCTGCTGCAGTGCATCTTCTGGGCTGAAGCGCTCGCGCGCATCCCACTGCCTGCACGCTACAGGTGCAGATTGCGCTCAACTTCTTTATGGTTTGGTCCTGGTGCGTCAAATACCGAAGTGTGTTGTTGGTGGAAATCCAACAATTGGATTCACCGCGTGACCGGTCGCCGAAAGAAGCCAGGGCCCACACAGGCAACCCAGCAGGAAGTCCACGAACCTGGAGCTCAGCTCATTTACGAAAGCATTGAGCGTTGACCAGCAATCGATCTTTCTTGGACAGCCACTTCCCCTCGGAGGTGCGCAGGACCGACTGCAGCTCCTGTACGAGTCACAAGCTATGAGATCATGCCATCGCCGCGTTGTGGACACGGTATCACGGGCCGCACGCAGGGCCTTTGCTCCAGGTCTTCTGAGCTTGCCCCGCGAGTTGGGAACCAGCCGTGGGTTGCCGTGGGGATCAAAAAACCTGCGTCAGCATTTGTCACATTGATCCGACCCGCAGGCAGGGAAGCCAAATCTGCACTGAAGACGGACAATGACTTCATGCAAGTCTTGACCAATAACCAAAACTACTCTTCAACAATACTTACTGCTTCACCCACAAGAGCTCGATCAACCTGTAGTATAATCGCAGCCCCTAGCTGACTTTTTGACGCAGCACCTTCCTTCCAAGCTCACTGGATGAAGCTGTCTCCTACATTTTGTCTGGAATCTGCAGAGCAGATTATTCTTGTCGGCAGCCACATCCAGGACAACGAGCGCAAAGGCTTGTGCTGAACTGCAACAATTCATCAACTATGGAAACACATGGAAACATTCTCTGTGTAAGATGCAGCCAATGCTTACATATCGGGAGCTGGTCAGCACTTCGCGTGGAACACTTTCAGTGCATCGAAGCTGGGAGGGCTGTAGACGTAAGGATCAACAGCCGAGTGGCATGCTTTTCTGTAAACACTCGCTTTGGCTGCAAGATAAAGAGATATAAAGAGGCTTGAACCTAGAAAATTGTCGCCAGCATGCTGCATCTGGCTCTTGATTCGTTATGTACAAAGCCGCAAGTGCTAGAGTCGCAGTGTCATCAAAACCAAGAAGAGGTACTATCTATCTGTAACAGCCTGCGATGGAGGCGTGCGACGCTGCTAATGGTAACCCCGGAGTACTGCCAAGATGGCATTTGACTACTGCCCGCCAACCTCGTAAACAGCACTGGGAAAAATGAGAAGGTTCACGCCCCCTGGCATGCCACCAACAATTGGGGCTTGAGGTGTTAAGCCGGTCTTTGCGGTTTCAGACCTCGTCTTTTGTTAAATGCATATCTAGCTCAAAGAGCAGCACCAGGCGAAACACGACAATCCTGGATCCTCGGCGCAGCAGCGGGAGATAGCGGGAGACACTCTCAGCCGGCGGTAGCCAAGATATTCAAAAGCACTCCGAACAAAACCACCATAAGCCGCGGGCCTGACGATTGCCTGAGCATTGAGTCAAATAGCGCATGCGTAATTAGACTCAACACCATGGATGGTGGCGCAGGCGAGTGGGTGGTTCAGATGCTAAAGCAGCAGTGTTCAATATCTGGCTTCAGCCAAAACTGCATGCATCTTCCGGTGCAGCCCTTTTTCCCTGCATGAAGATGGAGCGCAGTGAAGGGCGCGAGTTTTTGAGACAAGCTGCTGCCATCATTTACAAATCCATCGAGCGTTGCCTCGCGTGAGCTTGTGTTTGCAAAATTTTGCTAAAGATACTTCTCAGATCATGAAATCGCCCCTGACTGCTACTTGGCTGTCCTTCAACGTCCTTTGCCCTGAAGGAGGGACATGGCACTCTTCTGCCCGCCTGGGTGCTATCCCGACTCCGACCTCGCCACCTGCCGCGACTCTGGCTAAATTTCCGGATGTCTCTGATGTAAGCAGCTCCGGTAAGTTCATAGTCACATGATGTCACATAGAAACGGAGCCGCTTGCCGGACCCTGAACAATGTTTGCTGTTGGTGACGCTCAATGCGTTGCTTTTCAGACGCTAGCCTCCTCGTAGCCAGCAGAAAGTCCTGAGCTGGCATCGGTGCTTGTCGATAAGCCCGCGCATTGAGCCGTCTTTGTCGAGCAGTGTTCGAAGCGCAATCTCTTCCAATCAACATTCACTGTTTGACTGACCTTCTAACTGCGCGCCATGCTCGCCACACTTTGAGTTCAGGAGATGGAGCTAGGGCAGCAGCTGACTGAGTCTCAGAGGTCTTCCGCTTCAGCATGTGTGAAGCCACCGCTACCTGTTCAAATGCGAGTTGCTTAATCCCACAAGAGTGTCAATTTCATTGCACTTTGGCCCTGACCTGTTTAGCTTTGTCCATCAGCTGGTCCTGGAACAGCTCCAACCTTGAGTCACCCAGGGGCACCCTGCCTCTGTTCAACAAACTGGTTTGCCCATTGCATGCTGCATCACAGTCTTCAAAATGGGTGCATGAGGCCAGCACCGCCTGGACAAGAGGAAAAACTCCTTGGCTGCGGATCTTGTTAGGATGAAAGGTGCGGCTGATCACAGGATACCGCATCTGCACGCGGTATGGTTAGCAGTGCGAGCAAGCATCTTCGTCGTCCGAAGCTATTTCAGGGTCAGATCCCACGGCCTTGCCGGCTTACAGAATGGCAGCCCGTTGATATGCAAAACCCGCACGCACACCATCTTATGCGCAAGTAATGTTACGCAATTTCATGGCACACGTGAGCCCACGCAAAACTGCTTAATGCCTACGGCCCAAATCTAGTCACTTCCATCCACTCTATCATGAGAATTGGAAATACCAGGCTTGGGGGTATGAGGGGGGAGGTTCTTGATATGCGGTGGAACATCTGTCCCACCTGTTTCTTTTAGGCCAGGATGGTGCAAAATCTCAAAGTCCTATCAAGCCCAAGATCTAAAACCTCTCCATTTGTGGCCCACAGAAGCCCCAGCATCAGACTGCATTTGGCACGGCTCACACAAGATTAGCAAGTTCTATCATACGCGCGTCGTGTCCTTGCCCCACGCAGCCGTACCAGTTTGCAAGGACTGCTCTGGCCTGAGCTGTGGCCTTCTTTGTAGCGCTGATGGCCGACCTGCTCTAGACGCACTGCAAGCATTGGCGCACATGTACTGTCTACGTAGGCAGCGAAAGTTTTTCGGCAGATGTTCCTAGCTGATCTGTAAGGTTGACAGTATTTCATGTATTCATGTATGTACCCGTCAAACCCCGCAAAAACCTTCAAAGCTTGCACATTACCATCGCTTGCCTGGCAAAATGCAGCTCAAACCTGGGCGGGCTGCTACATTTGTGGGCATATTAATTGAAGTGACGAGCTTCAGCTGGTTCAACAAGAAAACAGCACAAACGAAGCTAAAGTTGTTTCCGGGAAAAATCAACACAAGGAAGCCCAACCTTCGGGGCTTCAACCTACACAGCACCGTGCAGCGAAGCTTAGCTGAGCTGCAATGGATTTTTTCATGCCTTGAGCCAAAAAGCAATCAGTAGTCAATGTGATCTACCATGGTTGGACTTTACAATGGGGAACCTCGAGGTTTTTCAAGCCCCCCTTTCCAACCTGGTCAGGATGTCCATGTCGGACTTGGCTGCTGAAATGATTCTGACTTGCGAAATGCAAGCTCGTAGTGTTGGTGGAAATTTCAGCCTCATTTGGGCTGAGGATCATGAACCATGAAACCTACTACTTGCCGCTTTCAACTGGCAGTGCGAGCTCTGCTTAGCTATTGCCAGGTGATTAAATTCATCATGCTTATGCAAAAGTCATAAGATCATTCCAAGTTGATCAGGCCTATAACATCCTAAGGTCCTAAGCCTTAGCTGGGCACAATACACAGAACGTGGGGCCCTTCAGCAGCCAAACTACCTTTGTTTTGCACAGGATTAACTGGCGACCGAAGGCCTTCAAGGCAGTCGGGAGCAGCGCCACGCAGAAACATCCCTAATCGGAAGCCTAGAAGCGATGCCAAGGAGCTTCAGCGCAGCACTCCATTTCTGTATTAAGAGAGCCTTGGTGAAAGGTTCATCTCGTTGCTCAGCAGTGTTGACGTAATTCAACAGGATGTTGTTTTTGTCATCGACGACTTCACAGGTGGATGCGATGTTGATTCTGTGGGTCTTCGCGAGATGCTGAAGTTTTGACGAAAAACCAAAGGATTGGTCTCCTTTCTGTGCATGAACGTAGCCTGACGTCGCGGGCGGTGTGGATGCAACCACCAAAGTCCGAGTCCACATAGAAAGCCAAACGAAGTTCACCGGGTTTGTTGCAAATGCGCATGATGGGAGAAAGATTAGGGGTAGCGGCAATGTACCCGACCAATCTTGCACATCGTCTGTCATCAGTCGGGGACCAAGACAGAACTCTTGCAGGCAAAGTCGTGACAGCAACCATGATGTCAGAATGCGCAAGTCGCGCGAGCCACAGGCACTTCATCACGATTCGTGCAGCTGACGAAGCAAGCTGACCTCGGAACTGATTATCACAGACAGGCAAAGAACCTTCATCCAAATGTGGTGTGGACGCAAGTTTGACATCACGACCAGCAATTGCCAGCAATTCAGATGCAAAGCTCAACGCATTGCCTGGAGAAGTCCGCTGTGTCAAGAGGAAGAGCAGGCTTGTCCTCAAACCCAACAGGTCTGCCCGTTCTTCCAAGCACTCTTGTCAAAGGAGCAAAGGGTTCGAGCTCAACTCTCTTTGACAGACGAAACCAGAATGCTGGATGAACCTCAATCCTCCCAGCCAACATCAAATCATCGACGTACACGCGTAGGGTTAGACTTGCACGCCCGAAGTAGAACACAGAAGGCCCAGAAGGCATTCCTTCAAGCTCGCGTCCGCCTAACTCGACCAACACAGCACGCAGAATCTTGGTCCAGTGTGCGCTATTTTCAGGATGTCCGTAAGAAGCTTTGTGTAACGGAGAAACCGGAGAAATGATGTGCTTCTTTCCTCCAGGCACGAGTTCAGGTGGAAGCAGTGCGAAAGTCTTGTTCTTAGACTTGAGATCCGCTTGAACATAAGCTACTCTAGCGGCATCGGCGGTAGTACAACCGTTGCCTTCAAGAACCCCGAATGCCACAACCTTATCGAGGCCTTCAAGTGAAGCAGGTGATGACGTAAACAGCTCTTTAAAGATCGCTGATGCCCCGTGATTATCACGGACACTGTCGCCGCTGAAGACGGTTCTGGCTTTCAATTTCCAGAGGTCAGGGTCAAGCTCGGCCCCTTTTACAGACAGTATCACCATGAAGCTTCCAATGTGAATGACACTTGATGTCCGGGCAGCCGACGCTAAAGCTTCGGCCTTTGAGATGAATTCACTCAGAATTCACTCTCAACCAAGTGCCTGCCTCAAGTAATAGATTCTTCTCCTTACCTGGCTATGGCTTCGCGCGCGCCAGCTGTCAAGGATTCGGTGAACACATCCCCAAACGTTCCGTTCACGCATCCC